ACTGGAGTAACGTACCGAGTCCCAGACTCGTAGGCCATGGAGCAACATCGGACTCAGCGTCATAGGGCGCAGGGCAGGGGGAAGCCATAGAAGTGTCGACAGTGCGATAGGGGCACAATTAGGTAGTTCCAGCAGGACCCAGAGAGGAACATCGGAGGAAGCGTGCAACATAGACAGCGGGGCAATTTGGCTCGCCTGATAATACTTAGTTATATTGGGTACCCCAAGACCACCTTGGAGTCTATGAGCAAAGAGCGTATTTCTAGAGACTCTGGGATGCTTATTGGCCCAGATAAAACGCATAAACTTCGCCTGTAGCAACCGAAGAAAATGAGGGGGAACCCGCACTGGGAGGGTACAAAAATAATATAACAATTTCGGCAAGATGGTCATTTTCACTGAATGAACCCGTCCTATCCAAGACAGGTGCGGATATTGAAACAAAGACCATTTTGGATATGGATTTCTATATAATTTTGCTTAATGTTATATGGCAACATTTGTATTTGTGCTTTTATGAAGTTTGAGTATTTTATGAAGTATAGGAAAATAAAATATTTTGATACATACATGAAGTGAAAAGAGATTGTTTTAGATTCTATTTAATTTTCTTCTTCTCCAATTTGTGTTAGGTTACATTTTAAGTAGTGATTTTAAGGCATAAAAGCTTAAAAAATTAAGTGGGGGGTTAGCTTACGTGTTTGGGTAATAATAGGGGGGTTACATTAATGATCACAGATAGATTAGGAGAATTTGGGTATATATTTTATTTTTAACAGCACCAAAAGCTAACACACTAATGAGGGAATGACACAGGTCAAAGATACAGTTGTAGATATTTTGAGTGCTGTATGAAAGTTCTTAACACAACGAGTCTTGAATATGAACTGAGTGATTGCCTCAAACATATACTAAATCAATACTGTTCTGTCCTCTCTACACATTTCTTTGTGTGTAACAACATGCAGCTAAACCCTCCTATTCTGCAATAAGCAAGACTGAGTGTAATTTTGAAGCTTTATTAACAAAACAGGGTGGGTGAAACTATTAAGAAAAACAGATAAGAAGTACATATAATCAATATATGAATTAAACAAACATAATTAAATTATTAAGCTGTGGATGGAAATAAGTCCATGCTCACCAGCGATGCTGCCTTTAGGGGATGTAAGTTCAGTTTATGACTGATATGCTGCAAAGAATTATGGCTGGTTCCTTTCACTCAGTTCTTAAAATGAAGTCTGAGCTCCCAGGATGCACCTTTTTCCTTTTCTTAGAATGAAGGAGTTTTTTTTATTAAGGGTAAACAGTCTCTAGTTTCTGTAAAACACTACATTTATTCTGGGCTCCATCTAGTGGCCAAATTTATTATTGCATAATGATTTTCCCTGCTAAGACAAAACAGACACAATGGACCTGGTTCACTAAGTTTGTAAATTAAATAGCTCAACCAGCAATCATAGATAGTACAGCAAGGATACCTCACCCTGGTTTACTTAAAGGATAAGTTGGTCTTTGGAAACATGTTACATGTTCCACTCGTTTTTAGGGTGGAACATGTAACATGTTCCCAATTCTGCAGCCGTTGCCCCCCGTGACAGAAGTATGGGGAGCAGTTCCCCATACAAGCTGTCACTTTTTAATAACAGCGTGGTCATGCAGGGCTCTGCCCACATAGCCATGTCATTCATTCACATTGTTCTGTGAATGAATGAACTACAAGTCCTGACAGCCTTAGCAGCTGTCAGCTTGTAATACTCAATGAACTATGGAGCACCGTGGTAGTTCATTGAATCTTCCTGTCAATATATCTGCTTGTCCATGCATTCCGTAGGGGCAAGCAGATATACTGACAGGTCTGCAGGAGACCTGCATGGCACCAGAGATCTGCTGGTCGCTGGTGCATTGCTTTACAGGCTCCTGTAACTAAAATAATAAGTGCATTTTTTTACCCGCAAAAGAATGTGCATTTATTATATTTGCTCAAAAGGTGAACTTATCTTTTAAACTTATGTGCATGGGCATGCACATGATTTCCCAACTTGGGGCTACAGTCATGGCCAAAAAGATTAGCACCCCTGCATTTCTATCGGCTAATGCATCATTTCACCCAGAAAATTGTTGCAATTACAAATGTTTAGGCATTCTCATGTTTATTTCTTTTGTTTGTATTGGTAAATCACAAAAAAGTAGAGAAAAAAAAGCCAGATCTGGCACATTACATGTAAAACCCCAAAATGGACTATACAAAATTATTGGCACCTTCAATGTAATATTTGGTAGCACACCCGTTGGAAAAAATAACTGCAATCAATTGCTTTCTGTAACTATCAATGAGTTTCTTACACCTCTCTACTGGAATTTTGGAGCACTCTTCTTTCGCCAACTGCTCCAGGTCTCTCAGATTGGAAGGGTTCCTCTTCCCAACTGCTGTTTTGAGATCTTTCCACAGGGGCTCTATGGGATTGAGATCTGGACTCATTGCTGGCCAGTTCAGGCCTCTCCAGCACTTTGTCTTAAACCATTTCTGGGTGCTTTTTGACGTGTGCTTTAGGTCATTATCCTTCTGTAAGACCCATGAACTCTGACGGAGACCCAACTTTCTGACACTGGGCCCTACATTGCACCCCAGAGTTTTTTGGTAGTCATCAGATTTCATAATGCCATGCACACAGTCAAGACATCCAGTGTCTGAAGCAGCAAAGCAACCCCAAAATATCAGTGAACCTCCACCATGTTTGGCTGTATGGACTGTATTCTTTTCTTTAAAGGCCTCATTTCTTTTTCTGAAAACAGTAGAATGATGGGCTTTACTAAAAAGCTGTAATTTTGTTTTGTCTGTCCACAGCACATTCTCCCAAAAGGAATTTGGCTTCCTCAAGTAAGTTTTGGCAAACTCCAATCTGGCTTTTTATGTTTCTGTATCAGCAGTGGGTTACTCCTAGATCTCCTACCATAGCATCTCTTTTCATTCGGATGGCGACGTATAGTGCAAGTTGACATAGTGCCTACAGTTCAGCTTGAATTTGTCTGGAAGTTGATTAAGGTTCTTTATCCACCATTCGAACAATCCTTCGTTGCAATCTTTGATCAATGTTTCTCTTTTGTCCACGTCCAGGGAGATAAGCTACAGTGCCATGGGCTGTATACTTTTTGACAATGTCAGTGGACACAGGAACATTAAGATCTCTGGAGATGAACTTGTAACCTTGAGATTGTCCATGCTTTTCCACAATTTTTGTTCTCAAATCCTCAGACAATTATTTACTGCTCTTTCTCTTCTCCATGTTTCATGTGGCACACAGAGACACACAACAGAAAGGTTGAGTCAGTTTTTGACCATTTTAACTGGTTGCTGGAGTGATTTCTATATTGCCAGCACCTGTTAATTGATACAGGTGAGTTTTATTACACCTGAAATGCAATGATTTCTTAAAATTTTGAGAAGGTGCGAGCAGGGTGTGGAAAGTACCTGTGGAGATCACATATCTCACAACAGCAGCTTGGAAAAGCGACCTTTCCAATCTGAGAGACCTAGAGCAGTTGGCAAAAGAAGAGTGGTCCAAAATTCCAGTAGAGAGGGGTAAGAAACTCATTGATGTTTACAGGAAGCGATTGATTTCAGTTATTTTTTTTCCAAGGGGAGTGCTGCCAGATATTAAATTGAGGGTTCCAATAATTTTGTCCAATGTGTCAGATGTGGAATGTGTCAGAATTTGCTTTTTGTTTCTGCACTTTTTTGTGTCATACCAATACAAATAAAAGAAATATACATGTGAATGCCTAAACATTTGTAATTGCAACAATTTTCTGGGTGAAGTGGAGCATTATCTGCCAGAAATGCAGTGGTGCCAATATTTTTGGTCATGACTGTATGTGCCTACAAATTCACTGAAATTGAAGCTACATGTTTCTAAAAATGACTCTAAGTCTACTTGCTCTTGAAAATGTATGTATGATCACTGAAAAATTGTTGGTCAAATGGTCAACTTTATTATTTCATTTAAACACACCTACTACACCTACCTACTTTAGAATATAGTAATAGATAGCTCAATTCAAGTGCTATGTTCAACAAACATTGTGATATTAAGCAACATAAACTTTTTTGGTTCTACAAAAAAACTATTGTTATGACTTATAACTGAGGCAAAAGCTTGCCGCCTTTAGGCACAGTCTTAATCTGCATAATGGTCTATCCAGACCTGATTTTGAAGGCCATAGATCTCCAAAATGTAATTATTAAAGTGTGGAAAGATTGTTGTTGCCATGTGCAAATCATAGGAGGGGTTATGAAAACATACACAATTTGAAAAGCGCTGCATTTGCTACTTAAAGTGGAGCTCCACCCAAAAGGGGATGTTCTGTTTTAAGGCAAATTTGATAGGTACCAGCTCTCACTTCCGTTGCGATTGCCTAAGGCAATCAGAAGCAGGAGCTATCCTCCCCCCTCCCTCCCCGTAGTCTTCTGGGACATGTGACAGGTCCCAGAAAACTAGGGGACCATTCACAAAGCGCAGCGCTGCTTGTGCATGCACAGTGGGCACCCGGCTGTGAAGCCGCAAGCTGTCACAGCCGGGTGCCCACTTTGAAGATGCTGGCACTGGGGAGAGAAGATGGTCGGTGAAACCAGCCATGGTGAGGACACTGCTGGACCGTGGGACAGGTAAGTGTCTGTAGTTTTAAAGTCAGCAGCTACAAAAACTGCAGCTGCTGACTTTTATTTTTATTTAATTCAACTGGAAATCCACTTTAACTAGTAGCCGACCGCAGATAGCCGAATGACGGCTGCACTGCGGCCGGCCAGTTCTGAGTGGACGTCATATGACGTCCCCCCAGAACGCGCTCTCCTGCGCGCCCCAGGGGGGCGCGCACCCGGCGATCTCCGTGATCGCTGTGTCCTACGGACACAGCTGATCACGTGATGTGGTAAAAGGCCAATCACAGCGGCCTTTTACCACGTGATCAGCGGTGTCCAATGACATGCTGATCACAGGGAAATGCAAGTGCCGGTTCTCGGCTGCACTTTCCTCACGCTGTCAGATCGTGAGGAAAGTACTGCCGAGAACCGGCAGTTGTCACAGCGAGGATCGGCACCGATCATCAGGGCACTGATGATCAGTGCCCTGATGATCGGTGCCCAGCAGTGCCACCCGCAAGTTCCGCCCACCTGTGCCCAGCAGTGCGCCTACTAGCTCCGCCCACCTGTGTCCAGCAGATCACCCACCTGTGCCCAGCAGTGCACCCACCTGTGCCCAGCAGTGCACCCACCTGTGCCACTCTGCAGTGTCACACACCTGTGCCCAGAAGTGCCACCTACCTGTGCCCAGAAGTGCCACCCACCTGTGCCCACCCACCTGTGCCCACCAGTGCCACCCACCTGTGCCCACCCACCAGTGCCACCCACCATTGCAGTCCAGCAGTGCTGCCAGTCAGTGCCACCAGTCAGTGCCCAGGGGTTGTGCCAGTCAGTGCCGCCAGTAAGTGCTCAGCAGTGATGCCAGTCAGTGCCGTCTATCAGTACCCATCATCAGTGTCACCTATCAGTGCCGCCTATCTGTGACACCTCATTAGTGCTGTCTATCAGTGCCGCCTATCCGTGCCACCTCATTAGTACTGCCTATCAGTGCCCTTTAGTGCAGTGCTGCCTATCAGTGCCCATCAGTGCCACCTATCAGTGCCCATCAGTGCTGCCTCATCAATGCACATCAGTGAAGGAGAAAAAATACCTGTTTGAAAAATTTTATAATAGAAACAAAGAAACTTTTTTTTTTTTCAAATTTTTTGCAATTTTTTTCTTTATAGCGCAAAAAGTAAAGCGCCCAGTGGCGATTAAATACCACCAAAAGAAAGCTCTATTTGTGAGAAAACAATGATCAAAATTTCATATGGGTACAATGTCGCATGACCGCGCAATTGTCAATCAAAGTGCGGCAGCGCTGAAAGCTGAAAATTGGCCTGGTAAATAAGGGGGTATAAGTGCCTGGTAGGCAAGTGGTTAAGTATTAAATATGGAAAAGAGGGAGGTGCATTTTGGATTCATTTTCAAAATGTAATTGTTTTTATTTTTTCGTTTAATAATCTCTACCTGCTTTCAAAACATTCTTGTTTTCAGTTTTTTTTTTTTTATATTTAAAAGCCTTGTGTGGAAAATTATTCATCATGTACTGTTCACCACTTCAAGTAATCATTTATTTCTGGATTACCCATAGTAAGCCACAATCCAGAGATTGCACACTGAGCGCAGTGGTATTTGACCCTGGCATGTTGAACGATGAGTCTAGTACGATCAACTTTTATTTGTTTCATTTCAGATACTGTTTATGTTATTATTAAAATCTAAATTCGAGTTCAGCCACAACAATTTTTCTGTTCTGTCCACTTTGATTATGCTGCTACACATATTTATTAAATGTTTCTGCCAGCTTGACATCCCTGTGGAAGCTGCATATAATAAACAGGTACAAGAATTTCAACATTGCTTTTCCATTATCTGAGGGCTAACCTAAGAAAAAATAGAAGAGCCCTTTAGTTACAAGGACAAAAGAGATCTGGAGAGCAAACATCGATCCTCCTTTTTCAGCCTGTGGCCTTAATTTCCTTTGCTAATGTTTTCAATGCTAGAGTATCTTGCATATAGCCATGCTACATCCATAAGGGCTTTTCAGCATTGCAGCGGGTGTTTATCATATAAATAGATGAACAACTATGCAAATTCTTTTAAAAAGCACTCTTATGTGTATTAACCACTTGCCCTCCAGAGGATTTACCCCGCTACCGGATCAGGCCATTTTTTGCGATACGGCGCTACGTTATTTTAACTGACAACTGCGCTGTCATGCAACACTGCACCCAAATGAGATTTACGGCCTTTTTTTGCCACAAATAGAGCATTCTTTTGGTGGTATTTGCACTATAAAAACAAAAAAGACCGACAATTCTGAGAAAAAAACTATATTTTTGACCTTTTGCTATTAAACATGTCCAGTAAAAAAATTTAAAAAATAAAATTTCGTCATAAATTTAGATCAAAATGTATTCTGCTACATTTCTTTGCTAAAAAAAAATCCCAATACATGTAATTTAATTGGTTTATGTGAAAGTTATAGTGTTTACAAATGGCAGTATAGGTATTGGATTTTTTTTTTTTTTTACTAGTAATGGCAGCGATCAGCGACTTATAGCAGGACTGCGGCAGGCATTCTGACACTGGGGGGAACTGATCTGGTGTCACTGACATCCCCAGTGACACCAATACAGTGATCAGTGCTAATAAAAAGCATTGACACTGTAGTAATGGCACTGGGCAGGAAGGGGTTAACATGTGGGGCGATAAAAGGGTTAACTGTGTGCTGCGGGATGTTTTACTACGTGGGCTGTTTCTGTGTTTCACTGTAAGCACACTGCTTTGTATGGCTCTGCTATGCAGAGCCATACAAAGCAGTGTGCAGGAGCTGACAGGGGAGAGATCTGTATTGTTTACATACAGATCTCTCCCCCATCTGAGATACTTGGCGATCACCAGGTGCTGGCAAGTAATTACCAGACGGGACCCGGTGATTGATAGCTGATATATATATATGTGATTTTGTGCAACCCTGCTGCCCTGTAGCAGTATTTCTGCTATAGGGCGGAGGGGAAGCGGTTAAGAAGGTTTGGGCAAGTAGGAGACACTATATATGACAGAAAGGTATGACACAGTGGAGTTGGTTTACTAAAGGCGCAAGGGGATTTGCAAAGAAAATGTTAAGCTGGCTTGAATTCAAAGCTCAGATCACTGCTGGCTCAGCCAAAATTCGAGCAGTATATGGTCCTCTTGGCACAGCTCAGTTCAACAAAAGTTGATTGCTTAGTTGACTTTTGTCGAAGGAAATGGTTGGATAATTGGCTGCCAAACAGCATCTGCATCTAATCAGATGTAGACACCGCTAGGGAATTCTGACAGCTGGCGGTGCCAGCTCTCAGGATACAATAGCCCAGCAGGGGGAATTAGTGCATCCACACCGTTACCATGGATGGAGAAATAGGCCTGTGGGCCTTTTAGTAAATGGCCAGCTTTATTGAACAACGTGAACCTTTGTTCACTTTGAATATCCAATTATGTGCAAGGGAAAACAGGAATTTTGCTAGCACATTCAAAGTTTACATGGGTTCACCTTGTTCACTAACATTCACTTTACAAAGTTAACATATATATTGCAAAGTGCATAGCTTTTGGAGCTAAAATCAAAAACCCTAAATCAACCTTACTGTGTCTAATAGAGAGAAAAAAGAGAGATGAGACATCGAGGCTAATTTGAGAATTTATATAATTACTTCAAATATTCAATCAATTGCATAAGTAAACAAGAATATGCTTTTTCACATGATTGAATAATTGATGTGAATATTCACAGAATATTCTCAACATGTTTACTAAGGTGATTTTCACATATGCAGTTTTGCTGTGTTTTTACAGCATTTGCAATGCGTATTTAACATGACATGTGACTAAAAAACATACCAAAAAGCGCACCGTGGCTGCGTTTTTGATGCACTTTTGCCGTGTTTTCCATTTCTTTAAATAGTGAAGTGTGTTTTTGGTGCTTTTTTTAACTGCACCAAACCTGAACCAAAATTGCATCAAGCAGGACTTTGAAAAACGCACCAGACCTGCAACAGATCAGTATGAGGAGTTCTATAGGAATAAATGGTCACACGTTTTTCTTCCCCTTTTTTTAACGCAAAAGGGGAAGAAGAATGGATCAGTGTGAAAGGAACGTCGAATTACAACAGGCAACGCTTAATGTTCTGGGAATGTTAGTATTGATTACTGAGGACAACCCAGCGGACAAGAGGGGACTAAAAAAAATTTAAACTGTGGGTAAAATTCAGTTAGGAGACATAAGGCCCTGTTTGCAAAGAGAGGTAGGAGGCACCATATTATGATTTTACTGGGCTCTTCTTCGCACTTCTCATCCTGTGTGTTCTGCAAATCACTAGCTTTTGGAAATATACAAGAAATGGAAATACTGTCCTTTATTACATTTGCTTAATATAGAGGCTTTGGTAAAATGTCCAGTTTTACTGATAATGACTGTTGGCCTATCTTTTATATTTTAATGTATAATATTAGCTATTATTTGTGTACCGTATATACTCAAGTATAAGCCGAGTTTTTCAGCACATTTTTTGTGCTGAAAAATGGCCCCCTCGGCTTATACTCGAGTCAACGTCAAGGGGGGCGCGTACAGGGGTGGGCAGAGGGCTGCTGTCTCTTACCTGGCTCCCACGATGATCCATCCAGGAAGCGCTGCTCCTTCCGTCACTCCGGCCACTCCCTCACTCCTGCCGCTCGGCTCCGCCTCCTCACCGGTGATTGGCCGCCAGAACTGTAGCTCAGGAAAGGTACACAGGCGGCCAATCACGGGCGAGGAGGCGGAGCCGAGCGGACCCGCGAAAATCGAGTGAGGGAAAAGCCGGTAAGTGTGCAGTGCAGAGGTGCTGCTGCAACCACATATGCTGGCTGCAGCAGCACCATACTGCAACAGGGGTCAGCAAGTGTCATTGGTGTCAGTGGGAGGAATAGTGCCGCATCATTGGTGTCACTGATACTAATGATGGGGCATTATTCCTCCCACTGACACCAACGATGGGGCACTATTCCTCCCACTGACACCAATGATGGGGCACTATTCCTCCCACTGATACCAATGATGGGGCATTATTCCTCCCACTGACACCAACGATGGGGCACTATTCCTCCCACTGACACCAATGATGGGGCACTATTCCTCCCACTGATACCAACGATGGGGCACTATTCCTCCCACTGACACCAACGATGGGGCACTATTCCTTCCACTGATACCAACGATGGGGCACTATTCCTCCCACTGACACCAATGATGGGGCACTATTCCTCCCACTGACACCAATGATGGGGCACTATTCCTCCCACTAATACCAATGATGGGGCACTATTCCTCCCACTGATACCAATGATGGGGCACTATTCCTCCCACTGACACCAATGATGGGGCACTATTCCTCCCACTGATACCAATGATGGGGCACTATTCCTCCCACTGACACCAATGATGGGGCAATATTCCTCCCACTGACACCAATGATGGGGCAATATTCCTCCCACTGACACCAATGATGGGGCACTATTCCTCCCACTGATACTAATGATGGGGCTTATACTCGAGTCAATAGTTTTTTTTCCCAGTTTTTTGTGGTAAAATTAGGTACCTCGGCTTATATTCGGGTCGGCTTATACTCGAGTATATACGGTAAGTTAATTAGGTTCATAAATAAACAATTACATTTCTATTGCTTTTGACTTTTTAAATGTCATGCTTATAATTTTTTTGGTATTTGCCACTAGGACATTCATTTTAATTGAGCATAATAGAATCCCTGCCAGAAGGTAGAAGATAAAAATGCCAATGCTTTTTGGGAGATTTTTTTTAAATTAGATTTCAAGCCCTGAAGCTCCATCGCTGGTAAAATGTATAATTTTTTCCTATAAGTCATTGTCCAGTTCATAGGAATGTACGGTACAAAATTTTTATAGTATAAAAATCTAAAAACATATGTTATTTATACTCAAGAACCAGAGAAAGATCAAATACAGACTTCCCAATTCATTATATTTTGTAGCGTTAACAGATTTATAAATAATACCTATAACTGAAGTTTGTTGTAATTGAATAGTAACTGAACTTACCTTGCTGGTTGGCTAAATGTGTCAAATCTCTAAAGTAGATGCAGATATTTTTTAAACTATGATGCCATTTTCTGACACATGGAATGCAACACATTTTATTTGGTACAAACGCTAACAAGATTTTTATGTGTACCGAGGCCATTTAGATAGAATCTACTAAAGTATTTGTGGCAAGCTGTTATTAGTTTTTCCCTCCTGAAAGCTTACAGTATTATGTGACTAATCCTGGTTTTACACATCAAGCTTGTGTATAGCTGTTTAATGCAGTGTAATGAGAGGGGTCAAATGATTGCCACATGCAGTTTCCTTGTAAATGGTGAAAGCAACACTGGATCAAGTCTCAAATTATTTCACTCAGTGGAAATTGTCTGTTTTTAACATATATGGGGACTTAGAAATCAAGCGCAAACATTATATGTTGTAGCATATTTTGTCATATTCAAACAAATTCTTCTTGTATCTATGTTAATTTCTGATGGCAGTATGTCTGTCCATCCAAGTAAATAAAAGAAAGGTGCAGCGCTTAAAAATAAATGACTAAAAATGCACATATACACATTAAAAACTTAATGATATGCCCGCATAAAATGACATAGTGCAAATCAGGTGTAAATAAATCTGCAATAAGGTAATATAATACGTGACAATCGTTAGCACTCGTTAGTGCTAAAATACACCACAGATAATGACATATAAAGTCCACAATTTAATAAAGGTGAAGATCCATCTTTGTGTGGCACTGATTGTCGATGCCACACAAAGAAAGCCCATTCTGGAGGACGACAGTGGTGCGGCAGATAACCCAGGGGAAGGGAATCTCTTGGACCAGACCAGGCTGCTGATATCCTTAACCTCCCTAGCGGTCTCAAGTTTTTAATGTTTATATGTTTATATGTGCATTTTTAGTCATTTATTTTAAGCGCTGCACTTTTATTTTATTTTCTTGTTCTTGGAGGTGCATACTAGCACATCATGCCATTGTCTTGCATTTTTTTTTTAAGGTCGCATTTTTCTACTGCTTTAAATACTACAAGTTGCTCAAAAACTGACTGCAATCCATCCAACTAAAAGGTCTTGTGAATTTTGATAACAAAATCCAAGGGACCTGCAGCTACAAAGGTCAATGAGAGCTTCTACCATGGAACATGGAAAGTTGTTTGACATTTCTGGAAATTTTACACACATGAAAATCTCTGTAAATTTCAGAGCTCAGAGGTCTACAGAAGAGGAAGATGACCACAAATGATGTATAATATACAATGGATTACCAACTTTGCTGGGAATGTGTAGTAGCTGCTGCCCTCCTCAAACACGGAAGTCTTGTGAAAACTACAAAAAGAACAAATTGTGTGTTCTTATTGCTGGAATTTTGATCATAGCACTGGAAACTGGAGTTATTTATTATTATACAGGATTTATATAGCGCAAACAGTTTACACAGCACTTTATAACATAAGGGCAGACAGTACAATTACATTACAAATTAATACAGGAGGATTCAGAGGGCCCTGCTTATTAGAGCTTACAATCTAAGAGGCAGGGTCAAGAGATACAAAAGGTAATAACTGTGGGGGATGGGCTTATGGACAAAATACATGCACAGTTGTTAGGTGGGGGCAGGATAGGCCATCTGAAGAGATGAGTTTTTAGAGATTGTCTAACAGTGGACAGAGATGGAGATTGTCAGACACATTGGGGAAAGGAGTTCCAGAGGATAGGAGCAGCTCTAGAGAAGTCCTGGAGGTGAGCATGGGAAGAAGTGACAAGGGAGCTAGAGAGCAGAAGGTCTTAGGAGGAACAAAGAGAACGATTTGGTTTGTATTTTGAGAGCAGGTTAGTGATGTAACTAGGGGC